GACAGACATTAAAACATTCATAGATACATACTGACACGCATACACTGACATACAAATACAGGGAGTGCAGAATTATTAGGCAAGTTGTATTTTTGAGGATTAATTTTATTATTGAACAACAACCATGTTCTCAATGAACCCAAAAAACTCATTAATATCAAAGCTGAATATTTTTGGAAGTAGTTTTTAGTTTGTTTTTAGTTATAGCTATGTTAGGGGGATATCTGTGTGTGCAGGTGACTATTACTGTGCATAATTATTAGGCAACTTAACAAAAAACAAATATATACCCATTTCAATTATTTATTATTACCAGTGAAACCAATATAACATCTCAACATTCACAAATATACATTTCTGACATTCAAAAACAAAACAAAAACAAATCAGTGACCAATATAGCCACCTTTCTTTGCAAGGACACTCAAAAGCCTGCCATCCATGGATTCTGTCAGTGTTTTGATCTGTTCACCATCAACATTGCGTGCAGCAGCAACCACAGCCTCCCAGACACTGTTCAGAGAGGTGTACTGTTTTCCCTCCTTGTAAATCTCACATTTGATGATGGGCCACAGGTTCTCAATGGGGTTCAGATCAGGTGAACAAGGAGGCCATGTCATTAGATTTTCTTCTTTTATACCCTTTCTTGCCAGCCACGCTGTGGAGTACTTGGACGCGTGTGATGGAGCATTGTCCTGCATGAAAATCATGTTTTTCTTGAAGGATGCAGACTTCTTCCTGTACCACTGCTTGAAGAAGGTGTCTTCCAGGAACTGGCAGTAGGACTGGGAGTTGAGCTTGACTCCATCCTCAACCCGAAAAGGCCCCACAAGCTCATCTTTGATGATACCAGCCCAAACCAGTACTCCACCTCCACCTTGCTGGCGTCTGAGTCGGACTGGAGCTCTCTGCCCTTTACCAATCCAGCCACGGGCCCATCCATCTGGCCCATCAAGACTCACTCTCATTTCATCAGTCCATAAAACCTTAGAAAAATCAGTCTTGAGATATTTCTTGGCCCAGTCTTGACGTTTCAGCTTGTGTGTCTTGTTCAGTGGTGGTCGTCTTTCAGCCTTTCTTACCTTGGCCATGTCTCTGAGTATTGCACACCTTGTGCTTTTGGGCACTCCAGTGATGTTGCAGCTCTGAATATGGGCAAACTGGTGGCAAGTGGCATCGTGGCAGCTGAATGCTTTTGACTTTTCTCAGTTCATGGGCAGTTATTTTGCTTTGGTTTTTCCACACGCTTCTTGGCGCACTTGGTATGCATCACTACATGGGCGGTCCGCCCCGGGTGCCAGCAGATTGGGGGGTGCCATGGCCAGCCCCGCCGCCCCCCCCCCCCATGCTGTATTGAGCCTCAGGCGGCTGCAGCTTTGCCCGGGCGGTGCGTCCATGAGGGCGGACCGCACCGCCCGGGCGCAGCCTGAGAAAGGGGGCTGACAGGAGGGAAGCGCTCAGCGCTCCCTCCTGTCACTCCCTCTGTAGTAGCGTGGCCGAGCCCTGCAGCATGCTGGTCCGACGGGCACAGAGAGCAGCTGTCTCCTGTACCCGGCCGGACTAACAGGAAGTGCACACTGAGTGTGCACTTCCTGTTAGTCCGGCTGGGTACAGGAAACAGATGCTCCCTGTACCCGCGGACTATACAGGGCTCGGCCACGCAACAGGGAGGTGGGGGGGGGGTGAGAAAGAAGAGAAAGGAGGGGGGGTGAGAAAGAAGAGAATGGGGGTGAGAAAGAGGAGAATGGGGGTGAGAAAGAGAGGAGAATGGGGTGAAAGAGGAGAATGGGGGGTGAGAAAGAGGAGAATGGGGTGAGAAAGAGGAGAATGGGGGGGTGAGGAAAGAGGAGAATGGGGGTGAGAAAGAGGAGAATGGGGTGAGAAAGAGGAGAATGGGGTGAGAAAGAGGAGAACAAGTGAGAAAGAGGAGAATGGGGAAGTGAGGAAAGAGGAGAATGGGGGTGAGAAAAGAGGAGAATGGTGGGGTGAGAAAGAGAGAACAAGTGGAGAAAGAGGAGAATGGGGTGAGAAAGAGGAGAATGGGGTGAGAAAGAGGAAAAAATGGGGGTGAGAAAGAGGAAAATGGGGGTGAGGAAAGAGGAGAATGGGGGTGAGAAAGAGGAGAATGAGGGGTGGGAGGAAAAGGAGGAGAATGGGGGGTGAGAAAGAGGAGAATGGGGTGAGAAAGAGGAGAATGGGGGTGGAGAAAGAGGAGAATGGGGTGTGAGAAAGAGGAGAATGGGGGTGAGAAAGAGGAGAATGGGGGTGAGAAAGAGGAGAATGGGGGTGTGAGAAAGAGGAATGGGGTGAGAAAGAGAGGAGAATGGGGTGAGAAAGAGGGAGAATGGGGTGAGAAAGAGGAGAATGGGGGGGTGAGAAAGAGGAGAATGGGGGGGGTGAGAAAGAGGAGAAAGGGGGGTGAGAAGGAGGAGGGGGGAAGAGAGAGAAAGGAGGGGGGAGAGAGAAGGGGTGAGAGAGAAATTAGGAGGGGGGG